ATATGATATCATACATGCTAATTCACACATACACTGATTATTTGAATAGGGAGAAAAATATGAAAGTAGTTTTTTAGGTCAGATAAGGAAAGAAGTCAGAGGAGGAAAGTGGAGCAAGCAAAATGAAAAAAAAAAACTCGTCTCAAGAAAAACAGGAGAGAGGCACGGGTGAGATCTCACTCATGCGTTTGTGTAAAATAATATATTTGTGTGGTCATATCTATAAAAATAATTCCAAAAAGAACAAAAATGGGGTTATATATACACATATGCATACATAGAAAACAACACAAAGTTTAGCATATGGTTTACCACTCAAAAAATGGTGATGGTTTTTTACATCCCAACTACAGGATGACAAAATGCCCACTTATGGCAACACGACTTCATCACTTTTGGACTTTTCTTTAGAAAACAATGATGGCTGGTACTAATTGCAGTGTAATAAGAGTAACCCTCTGAGGCATAGACAATAGAAAATATGTAAATGAAACACTGATTATAAACCATGCCAGGGAGAGGAAGGACCACCAACTAAACAGGTGATCCCTGCCCTATTGGATCTAATGGTATAGTGAGTAACACTGGTAATAAAAAAGTAAACTCACAGAATATAATTGCAAATCAACAGAAAGTCACGGAAATTGAATTGCATTGCTGTAACCATCTGCAGAATAGCTCCACAAAACCAAGATTTAATACTATGCTCTTATTGTTTATTGAAGGTTAACAAAGAAATGGCCATACGGATGCCGCTAAATCACTTGTAAAGTTGTAATTAAAATGCAGTATGTTATTATAAAATACACATTTCTTAGAGTTCAAAATTGTAAAAAACTTTGTCATCCCTGACAAAGATTTAAACTTCCTTGTATTAGTTTATGAGACATCTATAATTAATCTCTGCTACTTTTTTTCCATTGCCTATAAAAATTAGCCCAGATCTGTTCAATTTTTCTGGTACTATTGTTTCTCTACTTCACAGTACCCTCACCTCTCCCTACTATTAATTCCTTGCATTCCTTGAGTTTTGAAGACTTTATAATTCTGCACCAGATTATTTAACAACTTCACCCCATGACACATTGTCCCTGAGAACAACACTTCTAATTCCCGGTCAGGTAATATCCTTTACTCTTGTTCTTACATTTTTAATCTTGTGGGTGCTTCTTCTGGCCATGCCTTCCCCACCTGCCCCTTTCTTTCTCCCAGTCTTTATATTCCTTTACAGATTCATTCAATGCTGGAAATCTCCTCTTTCTTTCGCTTACCTTGTCACAATAGTTTCTTTTTCTTTACTGACCCTCTGTGAGACACAGTTGCCTACCTAATTATTGGTTATAAATAAGTTTTGTTGGGACATATCCATGCACATTCTTTTACATATTGCCTGTGGCTTGTGTGTGTGTGTGTGTGTGTGCGCGCGCGCGCGCGCGCGCACACACACACATTCCAATGGCTTCTTTTTTTTTTAATGTATTTAATTGTGGTAAAATATAACAACTTTACCATTTTAACATTTTTTAAGTGTACAATTCGGTGGCGTTAAGTACATTCTCACTGGTACGCAATCATCACCGCTATTCCTCCCCAGAACTTTTTCATCATCCCAAACTGAAACGCTTACCCATTAAACAATAACTCTCTAATCCCATCTTCCCTAATCCCTGGTAACCTCTATTATACTTTCTTTCTCTATAAATTTGACTATTCTAGGTGCCTCATGTAAGTGAAATCATATAATATTTGTCATTTTGTGTCTAGCTAATTTCACTTAGCATAATGTTTTCAAGGTTGATCGATGTTGTAGCATGTATTGGAATTTCCTTTCTTTTTAAGGCTAAAACTATTCCATTGTATATATATATATACCATGTTTGATTTATCCATTCATCTGTCTAAGGAAAATTGGGTTGTTTCTACCTTTTGGCTATTGTGAATAATGTTGCTATGAACATTGGTTTATACATATCTGTTTGACTCCTTCCTTTCAATTCTTTTGGGTCTATACTCAGAAGTGGAATTTCTGGATCCTACCTGATTTTAATTAGTTTTTATTATATGGCCTGCTATTAGCTTATGATATTTTTACATTAAGGGTTCTACTTTACTCTTCTTTATTCAGAGATGAGCACTATACCTGATCATAACAGAGATTGGATCTTAGGAGAGATTTTATGAGGATAAGGAAATGGAAGAACCACCTCCCTACTCATACAGTAATAGGGCTTATGGGAATGAATAGAGGCTGCTGGTATCTAAGTGTCTGTTGCTTGCTCCAAGTCTCCCCATGATGATCCCTATGGCAAGTTCAAACATAAATACCCGCAGTGATTCCCCCAGTGTAAGTCTGTTTCCTAAAAAAATCACATCTTCTCCATTTAAATAATTGAATTTTCAACAATGTATGATCTGATTATCACTCTTATTACAATTAAGTTCCAGAAAACAGGAATATTTTTTTCCTTTTTGTGCTCTAAGTACATCAGTGCCTGACAGCAATGCCTCTACTGCCACATGAGGAATCCCCAAATGAAATATAAACCATGGTACTTTCTTGTTCTTGAGCTATTAATCTCCCCTGGGTTCTCTATTTTTCCTTCTCTAATAAATTCTAGAAACTTGTTGTATTCTACTTTGTATAATTAAAATGAAAATATTATAGCAAATGATTATCTGCTGTAGGACCAGTTTATGTGAATGTCCAATAATTTGAAATATTATTAATGATAGCATACTGAATTAGGGAGGATTTGCATGGGATACTCTTGAAATTCAGCTGTCTAATGAAAAACATCTGCATTGCAGAAATAAGTAGACATGCAAAGTCTTACAATGGCAGTATTACCTTGACTTTTCTATACCGAAGAAAGTCAAAGTCTGTCATGTCAGGACTTCCTTTTACCTACTTCTCAGTAGAACTTTACTGAAATATCCATTGACATGCTACTTCTCTGTAAAGTGTCCATGATACCATCCTTATATCTAATCTATGGCATAGATAACTAATATTGTCTACTATAAATTTTCTGTGGAATTCAGCTGTGGACTTGAATCCTGATCTTTTATTCTTATTTAAATGATTCTACATTATTCTGTATCATTTATTTAAGCCAACCGACCAATAATTTTTATACGGTTGGGATACAAAAATAAATTTAAGTATTTAATCATCCATTGAACTTACAAATAAGTGTATGTGAGGAGTAAGTAGGAATGATGGTAGGAGTAAGGGTAGCCTTTTTATTGTTTTCACTTGGATTTCCCAGATAGCTTTAAATTTTTAAGTTTCAATAAAATTTGGAAAATTAAGATGAACGATAGGGAATATATTTTAGCATTGAGTGAGAAAATGGCAACTGCTACTCTGTTCTTCATTTGTCTAATTTTGTCTTT